CTTTGCATTTGTCTTTGACTTTGCTTTTGCCTTTGTCTTTGACTTTGCATTGCTTGGCCTATCACTTCACCCATGCATGTGCCTTGGCAGCGCTATCACCTTTAAGTTCAACTTCGCCTACAACTGGTTTTGAAGCCACTATATGTGAGGTCACCCCTCATAACTGGGACCTCCACTTCAAGCACCTGGCCATCCTCGCTTCAGTCCAGTCAAAATGGACCAGCGAAAGTTAAGTGTATAGTTTTATAGCAGCGCCAAAGATTTAAAACTTATTTTGTTCTTTAAAATTGTAATGTAATGAAAATGCTTTTTTTGTTAAATAAAATCTGTTAAATTTTTGTGTTCTGTTTGTTCTTCTATCCTCTAGCCATGCCATGGTCGACACACAGCTACACGCCTGTAGATGTCTTCATGCCACCGACTGAGCTACCGGAAGCTAATTGTAACCCCCTTTCTGTGATTGTGCAGAAAAGTTGGAATCTTCATTGCATTCCATCTTTTCTGGACTTTTTGCGGAAAGGAAGTGTGTTACACTATCAACGAAAGGGCGGTCATGAAGGGGTCGTGAGTCTCAGACTTACGACGTAATTCAAGCAAATTGCTGATGCTATTTCCGAAAATCTTGTGGCATAACGCGAATAATATGTTGCTAATGCTAGCAGAATGGATGCTGCCAATTCGCAATCATAGGCGTTCAAAACCGATCGACGTCATTACCATACATAAACAAAAAAAATTCATTTGGCTCGGGCTGTTATCGTTTGGTACGTTGGATCATATCCGATTTAAATAAATGCTGTGTCCTGGGTATGAATTGCAGATGGCAATATTCCCACTTGGATTACGTGAAAAGCAGTGAAATGGTATCTGAGTCAGAAGCGTATGTTGTGGGACAGAACAAATAAGGCGTCTTGCTTCATATACCGCACTCATCAGAATAATGCGATGTTCTTTTGGAAAATAGTCATTGGACATACAGGAAAGCTAATTAATCACAATCTTATCGCTATTCTAGTACGTATCTGTTTATTTGATTGAACGCCAGGTCCTTTGCTTTTGAATAAATATGAGCAAGTAGACTAAGCCCGCGGCACCGCTCGTGTAGAGGCTGTGTGAAGTTTAGATAATTCGGTACGCGTTAGTGTGTACGAGTATGAGACCGTGAGAGTCCATCTGTGTCTAGTCAAACTTACACAAATATACAGGGTTATGCATTTGAAATTTTTGAGAAAAACTACAATTTGCGTTTTTGGCCACCCTGTATGAGCAGAAATTAAAATTCGAAAAAGTAACAAATAAGATAAAAGCTGAGGTGTGTAAGTTTTTTTTGATACAAAATTCAGCATTCCAAATTTCAAAATCGCGGACTGAGGGCGGTTTTTCTAGACAAAACACCTTGTACCTCAGTAGCTAATTACCAAAACCTCATAGTAGGTTATATCAATTTTCTTCTTTTGAATTGGTTTGTCCAAATATGTAATAAAATTTGAGGAATTCAATTTGAAAAATCACAACTTTGATATGTAGGTCGAAATTGGGACACCCTGTATATTGACCAATATTTTAGAAATGCATTTGTTTATGAGTAATATTCCGTCCACACATGGATGGGCCACCCTGTATATATATATATATATAGGGTGACTTTGAAGTTGAGTCATTAATTTTCAGATAATGATTGTAGAAGGAAGATAAACCAAAATATGTGTGTAAAAATAAAAAAAATAAAAAAAAAAATGTTACCTTGTTTTATAAAGTATCCTCCCGACAAGTATTTCAGTGCGGACCTGTGCGCCCAAAAGCATGTCACAAAAACTGTTCGAAATGATTTCCGTTTTGCTCGACGCACAGCTGGGCGCGTCTTAGCCATGTCTCTTTACAAGCACGCAATAAAATCACTGGTTGATTTCTGATCACTGTACTCATTTCCTCAATTCGAGCACGTAATTCTTCGCGTGTATTAACCGGTGTTTTATACACTAGAGTTTTTAGCCAACCCCACAAACAAAAGTCTAAAGGATTTAAGTCCGGAGACCTTGGCGGCCAAGGTACAAAACCGCCACGGCCGATCCAACGATTATTAAATTGTCTATTTAAAAATTCACGCACATTTCTTGCATAATGGGGTGGTGCCCCATCTTGTAAAAACCACATGTTTTGTCTAATATTTAAAGGCACATCTTCCAGTAAACCAGGCAAATTGTGTTGCAAGAAATCAAAATAATTTTCACCAGTTAAGCGATTTGGTAATTCAAAAGGCCCCACTAAAATTCCATTAACAATTCCCGCCCACAGGTTGATTGGTTCAAATCGCTGTTGAAAATTGGTTTCCCTTATTTCATGGGGATTTTCAATAGCCCAAACGTGAGAATTACGTGAATTAATAATTCCGTTTCTAGTAAAGAGGGCTTCATCACTCACTAAAATTTGATTTAAAAAATTGTCATCATTTTGATGTTTATTTAAAAGCCAATTGCAAAAGTCAACCCTTTGTTCATGATCTTCCGGTTGTAAGGCCTGCACTTTTTGTATGTGAAACGGATAGAACTGATTTTCACGTAGAGTTTTCCAAGTTTTATACTGACTAATCGCCAATTGAGTTGAAATTTGTCGGGTGCTTACTGTTGGATCATCACTTACTAATTCTAAAATTTGTTCTTCTAGTTCTATTTGATCGTGTGGTCTTGGAGCACCGGCATGATCTCCTCTGTGAGGTCTTAAGTCACCTGATTCACGAGCCCTTTGTACTACATTAACAAAGGCACGAGGGGTTGCTTGCACTCGATTGGGAAACCGATCCGCATAAATCCGTGATGCCACGGCAGAATTTTGTAAAGACTCCCCCCCGTAAATAAGAACCATGTCCACAAGTTCAGCATTTTCGTAAACATGTGCCATTTTTGATTTGAGCCTCGCAACAGACACGATTATTCACTTACGCGTTACCGACTACCGACTGATACTGACTGTATACAACTGAAGAAAATAATTGTAAAAAGATCGTTCCAAATTCTTTCGCTTTTTTGTTTCCGATGCGATGAACGGATAAGGCGGATTATATCTGTTGTTGCCAAACACGAGAACATAATATCATTATTGAGACAGGGCGGTACTCAAACTTCCAAAGGGCTATAACTTTGTTACTTTAATTTTACCAGAAAAATGGTAAAGGAAAAAAACATTTCTTTTGATCAGATCTACTCACTGTTAAAATAAATGACTCAACTTCGAAGTCACCCTGTATATATTGATACCGAAAAATTGAAACATGTACTTCGAAAAAATCGATTATTTTCATCTTATCCGTAAGCTATTTGCGCAGTTCCGCGTTAATTTAACCGAGTTGTAACGGTCATGTAATGGTGAGGGTCGATTTTAAAAGGAACTATTATATCATATCCATAAACTATTCACAGTGCTAATTGCCATCATGCTCATTATACGAATGTCAATTCGGGAAAAAAATTTCAGGTATCCGAATGAAAGTATACCTTTCACGTCCTACAAGTGGATTTTATGATCTATTCTAGCAGCTGCTACGTGAAAGCGTCCAAATTTAATGTGTTTCCCAATGCTTAGGAACTTCCAGGGCTGCCACTGTATCAAGCGGCTATAAATGCATTTCCAATGACACAGCGTGTTTATCTTTCACTTAAAGCCGTCAAATACTATAAATTTAAACAGGAACGTGAGTCCATCCCGCTAAATATAAACATTTGTGTCCCGTTTTTAGCCTGGCGTTTGCGGAATTGCCAAAAAAATCCACCTGCTCGTTATACTTTATGTTCTCCTAGGACCAAGCTTCGCCGCTCTCATTTTATACGAAACTCCAAATTTAAACCGAGAGTGACATTGACCTGTGGATTTTGTGTTATATAAATATATAAATGTTGGTCAATATTAGAATTGTAGCAGATGATGAAATATTTCGAAACTCACAACTAAAGCTATAGGAGAAGGAGTTTAGTGTGAACAGGCTGAGTGTTCACGCTGTACCTTAAACCTACTTTAAAACTACTGAACCTAAAGATTCCACGAGCTCTTAAACAATATGTGATCAAGTGCAGCGAATATGCGGATACCATCAGATACCACAGCTACCTATACATACGGCATATTAGTAGTAGTAGTAGTGCGCTTGGTATCAAGGCCGCCCTTGACGCTTTTTGCCGACCCCCTGGTACCTACTTGCTAATCTACTAGTAAATCATTATTGAATCAAGTAGTTCTAGATATTCAATACATATTTGATCTCGCATCGGTTTGATGCCGTGATTAGAACCCGCGAGCCTTGGAGCCAATGTTCTAGCAACCGAGACCAAAACGCACCTGACCCTTCATACAGGATGTTAAGTAACTGGCCAAACTCCAGACACTCACTCCTAGTAGTAGTGAAGCCCAAGCGGGGATTTCGGAATTTACTAAAGCGCGGCAGATGAATATACAGGAGTATACCCTGTACCCATTTAAGTACTTCCACCAAATATGAGCCCCTTATATATGGTCGCCCGTTAAGGATAAAGGATCAGATTAGTAAAAAAAAATTGATCATCTGAAATTCCCGTGTCAGATTAAGGTAAGGTGAATTAGTTACATGCTAAAACAGTTGTATTCGACTAATCTGATAATATGACAGTGATGCAGAGAAGGGGGAGGACTACAAAGTTGTAAAAAAACGTCATCTCGACATTCTCGAGCGTGGCTAAATTTTTTTTTATTTTGAAGGGAATAATTCAAGGGTCACGAAAAATATATAATCTGACGATTCTCACAAGCGGAAGTAATAAAAATTAAACCATAAAGTTTAATGCGTGCAGCTACAGGATGCCTATATTCCCCTCTCCGCGTTTCTCTTTCTCTCTCACTCTTTCTCTATCTATTACTCTCTCACTCCGTCCCCACTCTGGTTGCTGTTGCCATGACGCCATGACAACTGATCACACAACTCGTGGCATGATGTTGTTTACAACGTATTTCCAACGTTTTTGCTTATTTTGTGATTTTATTATTAGTTATGTGAATTGAAGTTTATAAATGTTTATTATGTGATAGTAATATGAAGTGTGTACTTTGTGGTGAAAGTACTTTGCAAAAAACAATTAAATTTACATCAGATAAATTACAAAAATGTTTAAATGTTTTAGAATATCGCCGGAGCAAACCGGTTGTCCGAAAATCTCGAACAACATACGATAATCTAGAACTTTCGATAGAATCTTCATTGAATGAAGTGTATTACTCATAGTGCTATAAATTATTTACAGCAATAAAAATACCGCGAGACTTTCAGTATTTGCAACCACAGCAAAGTGTAATGGATCATGACAATGCATCAGAAGTTTCTGGGAATATCTCCGAATCACATCCTTCTGTTTCTGGAGAGTGCTCCAAATCACAAGCTACTGTTGATTCCGCGTCTACTGAGGCTGTTGGTACATCGACAGACGAGTAAGTGCTAATAAGATTTCATCTAGTAAATATTTAAAAACTTTTTTTTATTGAATTAATTTTTTAGTTAAATTTTTGTACAAAAAAAAACAACAATAGTTATTTCTTGCATCAACAAAACTATTAATACAGTTATAAGATATGAATGAATCTATTTCTTACCAAACTTTTAATTTCATGGTATAATCATTAGCTTTTTTATATTATTTTTAAAGAATTTGCAGAGCGGGAGAATACAGCAACATTCAAGAAGACCTTGAGGATTTCAATGATTCATTCAACACAGATGAGCCTGTCGCTCATAACGATTCAGCATCGCAAATGTGCTTCATGTGTGAAAAACAACGTAAACGGTATCATGGTCGTGAATTTGAAAAACGCGGCCACGGAACAAAGTGATATATCGATGTTAGAAAAGCTTAGTTCTTTCTCCGATGATTCCAAAATTTTTTACCATAAATGTTGCAAGGATCAATACTTACGAGATATTTATAAAGATGAAAACAGCGAATATCTAAAGAAAAAAAAAAGGTTTACAATAATGTGATATGCTAGAAGAAAGGGTGGTCAAGAATAATAAATGCTTGTTTTTTGACTACATAAAAAAAGAATATCAAAAATTGCTAGAACAGCAATACAGTTTATTGTCTGATTCTGTTACTGTTTCTTCGTTCTCAGACCGTCACTTGGAAGGAAAATTAATGGAAACTTTCGACAAAAAGATTAAGATTATTTACGCTGAGAGAAAAAGTTTCTTGCTCCATTTTCCGCCACTCTTTTGACCTATAAGGACTTATTTAAAACCATGGCAGTAAAAGAAACAATTCGTTCAGTTGCAACACAACTTCGCGAAGACATCCTTAACTCAACTAGAAGAAAACTGCCCGAAAATTGTACGGCTAAAGATTTGATAATGGGAGAATGCCATAGCGTGCCAGAACTTCTTAACTGTTTTTTGGAATCATTCATTTGGGGCGATGTTTCTCATTTATCTAAAAAAGCACGTGTCAATAGAAAAAACAAGAATGAACCTTCTATTTTTTCCATAGGACAAGATCTAATTTACTCAGCTTCTGACCACAAAATTAAAACATCGAAGCACATTACCCTAGGCTTGGCAGTGAAGAGCTTATGTAACAGTAAAGAAGTTGTTAACATACTGTCAAAATATGGACACTGTTGCTCTTACACAACTCTAGAAGAGCTAGAGACTGAGCTGGCATTTGTCTGCGACATCTTCTAACCCTAGTGTACATGAAAATTCAACAGTCGATGAGATTGAGCGTGGTAGTCTTTCGGAATTATCCGTTACCATCACAAAAACAAAAAACCGAAAACGAAGAGCTTTCGAAGAAGTTACGTTTGAAATGCATCCATTCACCAAGAAATTAAAAATTACCACCTGGAGTCAGCTAGAAATCTCAGAGCTTAATAAAGTTCCAGACAATCTGAGTATGTCGAAAAAGCTGGACGTTACGTGGATGTTATTACATAAGTATAAAATATCGGATGTTCCAATGTGGGTTGGATTTCACAGCAAGATTTTAATAGACGATTCACGAGTTCAAAAAGTGTCATATCTTACTCCCATAAATGAATCTCCTACCAACAATTCAACTGTCTTGAAAACTCTCGAATTGAGTCAGTATATTGCAAATGAATGTCAAGCTCCTTATAGTATATCCAGATCACCTATCACCTATTGCTCGCACTAGTTATTGTATTCAAGCTCAAGAATCTCCAAAATTTGACAATTTTTTTATTCATTTAGGGGCCTTTCATATTGATGTAGCTTTCTTCAAGTAAGTTGGCACTTTTATTGAAGATTGTGGACTGATTAATATCATAACTGGGTGCGAATTGATCGCTAATGGTTCAGTTTCAGGTTTTGTAAGCGGAAAAAATTACAACAGAAGTAAACGATTACATTCTATCGTGACATTGGCATTGCAACAATTGCACTTCGAAGCATTTTTAGAAGACAAACAATTGACAGTTGGGGAATCAATGTTAGAATATCTCACATTTTTGGCTCATAAAGATGTCTCTCCACAGGTTCAGCATGCAGAAACACAACGTCTCATTGAATCTTATGAGGAATATACAGAAGACACATTGGACGGCAAGCACTTATTCATTAAAAGTATTAGAGTTGGAGATTTAGATTTGTACTTATATACCATTGCGAAAATCGTCAGCTTATTCTTCTATCACAATCAACCAAACTATAGTCGATGGCTAAGTGTACTATATTAATTTACAGCAACACGTAGATAACACACATCCTCCGAACTGAAATGGCTAAGGGTTCGTTTGGAATCAGAAGAACCATCAAGCCTTTCTCACGAATTCCTGTGGATTTAACATTAGAGCAGACAATAAATGGTGATGCTGCTCGTCGTCTTACTGGAATTGTTAACCTTACAAATTCAATTGCTGCTAGTCAACGTTGGGCTAAAAATCATGAGGCGCGAACAGGAATCATATCTCATGTACTGACTCGTGCAGGACTTGATAGAGACTACCATGATATTGCTTCTGATCTACATCCAGATAGAATGAAAAAACAACACATCCAAATTGAAGCTTTTGCGAACAGTCTCCTGCAGACCATTAATCAATTTTTTTCTTCAATTGATAAGGATCAATTGTTTAACATTTCAACAAGGCAAGCTGCTCCTCCAGAAATTGCAAACTGTTTGCTAAAGGCAGTGTCTGGAGTAACATTTCTGCGTGATCAATTCATAATGGAATGCAATTTAAATTCAGAAAGGTTTCACCAGCCATTAAAAAAATACAGTGTTGACTTTTGCAAGCCTCAAGAAGCAAAAAGAATGAAAATTGGTGGAAAAGTCCACGAAGTTAAATTGCAGCGAGATTTATTTTGATCGGTTATTGGCTCTATCTCTTGACACGAATATAGACCTGGAGAAAGTACTTTGTTTTCCTATAACTTCTGTGCCGCTATCACTGTGACATATAGATTGGTTCTTTAAACAAGACTGATAAATCAGTACTAGTTCATGAGTTAGAGAAACAAGTCGAAGATGTGGAGCAACCGCCATCCCAAGTTGACCTTGTAATTGTAGATGGCTTCTTTTTTTAAAATACTTTTAAAGAAATGCCACGTGGTTTTGGAGGTGTGTCAAAGAAGATATTGCAATGCCTTATTAATAACGGTGCAAGTAGAGTTGCCATTGTATTTGATCGCTACTTCACACCCTCAATCAAAGATTATAAGCGTTCTCTTCGAGGCAGTATAGACGACAAGAAATTCAACATCTCCGGTCCTCATCAAATAAGAACAGCAGATTTTACAAAAGACTTGAAAAATGTAAAGTTTAAAGAAGCTATTGTCAAGTCTTAGATCGATAATTGGGCTGATCAGGAGATGGCAGCGATTATCGGTAGTAAGGTAATTTACATAATTGATGATTTGTGTTACGAATATTCTGTTACTGATAATAAAGTAACACGCATCGTTAATTATGAGTTGTCATGCCCTGATCACGAAGAAGCAGATACGAAGATAGTATTTCTTGCTTGCCAACGAAAAGAAGATTCTACTATTACTATCAGCAATTCTGATACTGATATTGTAGTCATCATGTTGGCGAATATGGAACACCTGCAAGCAACAGTAGAAGTCTGGATGGATCTTGGAGTTGGCAATGCACGCCGATACATCGACATATCCACTCTGTACAATAAATTAGGCCCAAAAATTTCTAAGGCGCTTCCAGCTTTACATGCGTTCACTGGTTGCGATTTTAACCAAGCATTGTACCGACGAGGAAAAAAGAAACCTTTGGAATTTCTGATGAATTCAGAAATTTTCCAAAAAGCATTCCTGGATTTGGTATCAAAGGAGCATAATGTGCAGGATCCTTTTAACATCATACAGTCTTTTACTTGCCATATGTATGGGCTCAAAAAATTAAATGATGTCAATTAAGCCAGGATTGTCATCTTCAATAGGACGTACAAGGTCAAAGACAAATCACAACCCTTTTCCTTGAATATCTGGAATTACGATGCGTGCAACCTACTCCAACAAGTGTTACGCACAAGATTCATTACATGCATAATTACAAAAAAACGTTAATTCATAAGAAAAAATATCACTAGATATTTTAATGAATTTTTGTTACAGATACGCAATCTGAGGATGAAATCGAGCCAGAGGAGGAAGATGATTCTACCGATGAAGATGATGATTAAAAAAAATCCTCAAAAAAATATAATTATTTATAATTATTTTTTTATAAATATGTACAAGTATTCTACTTAAAAAAATATGAACTTTTTTTATTTGCATGCTATTCACTGAGATTTTCAATTAATTAAGTTCAATGATAAAAAAAAAATTAAATAAAAATTTTCTTAATTGTCAGATTAGGTGAATCCCTTCAGGTAATCGTCAGATTATGAGAAAGCACGTCTAAGGCCTAAAGATGAACCATATATATCTTAATCTGACGCGCTTGAGTATTTCAAAATGACGATTTTTTTTGCACATTCTAATAATGACCGCGAATTTGCGTCGCATCCAAATCGTCAGATTATTATATAAGAGCTTTGTTTTAGGTTCACTTAACATCCCCTTTGAAAATATGATGCGGTCGATTAATTTTTTTTTCATTTTCAACCCTTTCGTACGACCACCCCCATCATGGAAACAATCAGATTAACATACCAATATTTTTCAAAATACATAGGGCATGGATGATATCAATATATTATGACGCGCTCGAGTATGTCCATGCAACAGTTTTTTTTTACATTTTTGAAAATCTATAGCCGCTCCCCCCACCGATGAAAAGGTATATAGGACATCTTCTTCGTTTTACCATCTAAGCTTCGCAACCCAATAGGTCTTTATGCCGCTTGAGTAAATCCCGATTTAGCATCGTGGGCTTCCCTACTATAGGTTGATTTTGAGAAGAAAAGCTCTTACAGGGTGACTGACAAATCGTGACAAAAAAGGTAACGTCATACACACGACCGCATTTGAAGGGGGACTTCTTTGCAACATTTTTTCCTCGAGGTCTTCATTAAAAAGATACGGGGTGTTGAAGTCTAAAAATAAAAACCAAATTTTTTCAATATCCTCAAAACCGTCAACTGAAATGAACTAAAATTTGGTATGTGGACTGACCTAAGTATTCTCCACATTTAAAAGTCTTTACTTAAAATTAACGTGCACCAGTGGCGGAGATTAGTGGCATTATATTTCCAAATAAGAATAGTAAGCCACTGATATTTTTTCGAAACGTGCAATTTTTTGAATGTTACTTTCAATTTACTGCAAATAATTACTCATATACTTTTTTCCTAGTGCCATGTTTTCGTAAAAATCGAAAAAAAGCAAAAGTGACAATCAAAGATTTATTTCAAATATTTGTCCAAAAAGACCACCATTCTGATAGATACAAGTGCTGCATCTTTTTGATAAGGAAAAAAGTATTTTCGCAAAATTTGTTGTGGCTTGAATTTGATGAAACGCATTATCTATTCTTTCTTGTAAATGATCAACAGTATTAATTTGTTCGGCATACACTAGTTGTTTAAGAAAAAAGAAGTCAAGGGCAGTTCAAATCAGGAGACCCCGCAGGCCAATGTACGGGTTCGTTTCTACTAAAATATCGTGGTCTAAAATGATTATTTAACCATACAGTTATGTCACGACGAACATGCGGTGGGGGCACCGTCGGGCTGATACCACATTCGTCACCGTCGTGCTGATACCACATTCGTACTTTCGTTGCTACATCATCTAACACATTTTCTATGTAATTCTCTAGAAAAGCTAAGTATGAGTTTGCATTTAAACGTTGTGGCATTACGTGCATAATCAGTTGGCCATTGAAAATGCTGCACCAGACATGTCCAGAGAATCCGTGTTGTTGTTGTTATAGAACTGGGATTTTCTAACGACCAAATATCTTCGTTATGAGAGTTAAAGGTTCCGCTCCTCGTAGAAAGCGATTCATCTGACCACAAAACCAAATCAATAAAATCTGCATTTTGATTATGCATTTGCAGTAACCAATCACAAAAATTTCGCCGTTACTCTTCGTCGCCGGGTTGCAGACAGTGCACATTTTGCCGACGGTAAGGATGTAAAACTTCACAATTTAAATTTTTCCACGCAAGACTTTGGGAGCATGGTACTTGGGCTGCGATCCGCCTGGTACTTGTACTAGGATCATCCAACGCCAAATTAATCACTTCCAGTTCCTGTTGAACAGTATGCTGGACACTATGGCCTCTAACTCCGATTAGTTTGACAATTCCATATTGCCGGAGTCTTAGAAATAAACGCGTAAACACCTTTGGTGTAGGTTGGCGTCTATTAGGAAATCTATGTTGTTACGCCCGAGAAGCCGCTCAAGAACTTCCATTACAGGATCCGTACACAATAATATCGGTGTACTCATCATTGCTAAATTCCATTTTACAACACTCAAAAATGGAAAAAAACTTTTGACTTGACTTTTACAAAAAAAAATGGTAGTAGTAACGATAACAACCGTATAGCTCATAACTTTGACAAAGTATCACGTTGATATCAAGGCCTCCTATTTTATTTTGAAACCAATGGCATTTCGGCTCTTATGAAAGATCTAATTTGTTTTATCTTTATTTTCATGAAAACAGTGCACTCTAGGGAAAAAACACAAGAGTAATTATTTGTAGCATATTGTAGGTAAAATTCGAAAAATTGCGCATTTCGAGAAAAAAATGGCTCACTATCTTTTATAAATATTCCCTGTATCACCGCCACTGGTGCACGTTAATTTTAAGAAAAATCTTTTGAATGTGGAGAATAGTTAGATAAATCCACATACTAAATTTTAGTTCAGTCCAGTTGACGGTTTTGAAGATATTGAAAAAAATTGTTTTTTATTTTTATACTTAATGAAGCCCTCGAGAAAAAAATGTTACAAAGAAAATGAGATGTGAATCACCCTGTTCAATCATGGGTCCGATGATACAAGATAAAGTATGTGAAACAGACATAATATCTCTAAAAACACAATTTCAGTTTCTAAGGCTTTGCCTACTTTGTATCTGGTGATATGCTAAGTGACATGTAGAAGAAAATAACTCCTAGTAATAACGAATTTATTACAAAGATTTTGTTTTGATCAGGACCAACAATCAGCTTTTCAACCAAATGGATAAAGTGAATTTTGTGTGTCTGCTCTTACAAAGAAATAAGAAAGCAATAGTTGTGTTTTGAACCTATAATTCGATCATCTTACAGTACCTTACTTTAATATGTTTTTTATGCCTACAGTGAGAAGACCAGATGTTCAATAGCTGAGCGAGAAATAGCCACCAGGGTGCACAGAAGTCTAAATACGTTGGTGGTTTGTTGTCGGGCATGAAATCAGGAAGGCCGTACACGAACGGTTAAGAGGTACAGGGCGTGTAAGAAGAACAGCCTCACACAAGATCCCCGAATTATGCTTTTGGCTCTACAGGATCGCTTCTCGTCCACAAGGGTAATTACGGACCAATGCTTTGGAGATAATGGAAAGTCTATTACAATGTGAATTACTTATCTTTAGTTTATCCTACCTCTCACTCCAAGGCACCGAAGTGATCTACTGGTTTCGTACAGAGATCGGCTAAGCTGAGGTCTCGAATGGAATACTTTTCTTTAGTGATGAATTCAAATTAGGTTCGGAGATGCATGATGGCCGTACAAGGGTGAGCAGGCGACGTGGTAAAAGATTCTCAATTTGTTCACTGTTGAAATTATGGTATCTATCGGAGCTATTGCTTATACAGGGTGTTTCACAACTTATCCGACAAATTTTAACCACATATGCACTGTTACGAAAGTTGATTTCTCAAAAAAAAGTAATAAAAGTCCTACAGAAATCGAGATAATAAAATAATACAGTTTAAAAGTTCACTTACGTGCAAAAGCTGTTCAAAATTGTTTCCAATGACTGCAATGCGGCACACTAATGCAAATACACCTCCTTCCTGCTGTGCCTGAAGGTTCAAATTATTGGCAGCCACTGTGATGATTCGGTCACGCAATTCTTTAATATTATGAACTGGAGTACGGTATACCTCGTTTTTCAAGTATCCCCATTAAAAAAGAAGTCCATGCGGAGGTGCTCCTCGTGCAGAAACCACATCCGTGCTCGCACCGCCAATGGCACATCTTCAAGAAGGACCGGCAAATCGTTCCGAAGAAATTCCAAATACTGTTGACCATCCATCCGATCTGGCAATATGAACGGTCCAATTAGAAGTTCAACGACAATACCTGCCCACACGTTTAAAGAAAAACGATGTTGGAAGTGTGTCTGGACCACTGCGTGAGAGTTCTCAAAGGGCAAAACGTGTGTATTATGAAGATTGGTTATCCCTTTACGAGTAGACATAGCTTCATCGGTGGCCAAAATATCAGCTATAAAACTGTCATTTCGAGCATTTTCTTGCAACAATCACTCACAAAATTTACTCTTAGAGAGTAGTCTGTAGGTAGCAATGCCTGGACTCTCTGGACGAGATAAGGGTACAGTTGGGCCACATGTAATATGCACCATGCTGTTGCATGTGACACTTCTGGGACCTGTTGAGCTAACTGCCTTGTGCTTATTCCCGGATTTTCTTCCACAATATCCAAAATTTCGTCTATTGCATTTAAAACGCGTTGTGGGCGAACCCGACCCCCATCCACTACACGTCTGGGGCGCAAATCTCCACTAACATGTGCACGTAAAACAATTGAACTAAATGTTTCGTGATGTGGTATGTGCCTATTCGAAAATCGGTGTGCATACAAACAAGAAGTTGCTCGCGAATTTCGCCCTGCTTCTCTGTATGCTAAAACAATGTCCACTAACTCCTCATTACTGTACACATGTGCCATTTTTATTAATAAATAACTAAAAACATAAACCCGCAAAATACTTTCTAGTTTAACTTCACAAAAATCGAACGTTCTTCATTCAGATCAACCACGATACAGATTAATCCTTATTTACACGTTCTTATCAGTATGAAAAAACACAAAATTCCCGGTATTTTCTTTTCGTCAGTTGTTTGGCACAACATTTGCTACAATAAATTATTAATGCGTGTTCTCATATAACAACGATGAACGCAAAATACAGATATTCGTTTCTCAATTTATTATTATATTATAACTCAATTTCTGTATGACTTTTATTACATTTTTTTGAGAAATCTGCTTCTTTCGCAACAGT